GCAGCCGATCCTCCACCGCCTACAATCCTCCGAGCGGTGACCAGAACCGAACGATGCGCGCTCGAATTTAGGAATCGCGTGAGCTCGAACCGGGGTCAGCAGTTGAGCCATCAAAAAGACCCTCAAAAAATGAAAAATTGGACCAAGGTTTTATCTAAATAATTTGAGGGTTCTAATGAGAGAGAAGTGAGTGATTGCGTGAGGAGAAGTACAAAGGTCCTCCAGATTTTGTTGAAACCTGAAAATGAGGAGGAGAAAATTTTGAAATGGGACAGGTGTCGGCTTGTGAGTAGCTGCTGCTTGTGGTACTGGTTTTGTTTGTTTCTTTGATGCTGAGGTGGGATTTTGTGAGCCAGGTTTTTTATTTTTCTCGTGGAAAACTGGGACTAGAACGTTGCCGCACGCTTTTGCCATTTGGTAGTAGCCTCGAGATTTTTCTTTTCTTTTTCTTTCTTTGGTTAAAACACGCGAAGAAAAAAAAAGACAGAATGGATTTTAGGAAGGTAAATAATCCTTTCATGGAGGCAAATGTCTTGAAATAAATTGAATCAAATCGAATGCTGAAAAGCTTGTATTAAGCTTGTATTTGTACTTGTCTAAGTATTTGCATATAAATCTGAATTTAAATAGCAATCCTAAATATTTTTCGAACTCGAGCACCTACTTCTAAAAATATTGAGACTATTTTTTCTCAAAAAGATATTGAAAATACTATCAAATGTTATAAAATATTTATTTAATATTTACTTTACAGTTTATGAATATTAAAAATTTTAATTAAGGATATATTTATTTGGTTAAATAAATAAATTAGTTTTCTAACAATATTTATTTTAAAAAATATTTCAATTTATAACTTACAACTATTCACTTATAATTATGATGTATAATATGTAATTGCTTATTTGCACTACTACCAAAGTTCTTATTAGCAATGGTTAGAACCGTTTCAAATAAACATACTTGTAACGGTTTCAATCGTTTCTAATACATTAGCAATGGTTAAAATTGTTAAAAATTATCCGTTTGCTAATAAATCCGTTGCAATTAGCTTATAGCAACGATCAACAATCGTTGCAATAGTTCGCAACCGTTTCTATTAGATTATTTTTTAATAAAAATTTAAAAACCCACGTCAGTAAAATAAAAATTCACATTAGCCGTTACTAAAATGTATTACCAACGGAAAGCAACCGTTGCTATAAGGTTTAAATTTTTGTTACATAAAAAATAAAATATTCGTGTTATTGAATTCCAACCATTACTAAACTGTATTAATAATGGAAAACAACCGTTCCTATAAGATTTGGAAAAAAAATATTTTCAATAAATATAAAAATAGCATAAAAATATTATAGCTTATTCTATTAATTAGTCTTAGCATTGATATTCACCTATTTTGCATCAGCTATTTCATCCACTTCAAACGTGACAATCATTCAAATGAAACAAATCATTACCACCGTAAAAAATGTAACTTGATCAATTAAAAAAAAGAACTAACTGTTTGATACAAGCTGTGCGAGCAAATCCAAAAATTGATGAACAATCACAAAATTTTTAATTTGGACCATCAATTTATAAGGTTCCCAACTCTACACAGTAAAACATCTAAGACTGAATAACAAATCTAACAAACAAAAATTATTCAAAGGACATACAACAGTAAAGAAATAAACAATGACTAAGTAGTCTTCAAACAATAAAGTTCAGTGAGGCCATAGCTTATCAATTTCACAATTCATTCATTTATAATGTTTAATCCCATGACTTCTCCCACCACTCCATTGCAGCAAATTTGAGTCCCCTCGACCATTCATTGCCTTGTAACCTCCATCCATATCATGCATGTGCCTGTCCAAAATAGTAGAGATTAGAAACACGCAAAAGATATTTCGACCTCCTTTTTTATTCAGTAAATCTGTCTTTCATCAATCTAAAAATATTAAAAAATACATAATGTCTATGCATATCCAGATAATTAGACTAAAACAAAACTGGGTATGGCAAAAACCTTTAACATAATTTTTTTTCATGATTCTCTTTCATAGACTTTCATGTTTTCATCCTTTATGAATTGATACAAATTTTTATCAAGATAATTTTTTTATACTAAAACATAATTTTTTTATAGTATACATTATTTTCAATTTTTTTGTTTGAACAAAGTGTTTATGTTTATGGGATCATTTTAAATCACTCTTATGATGACATTTATGTGTTTGAGCTTTCGGATCATCTAGTTATGGTTTATAATATATTCCTTATGTGGTTTGATCAAGCTTTGCAAAAAGAATTTCTTCTATTGATCAAACACTTTTTAGATATATACTTTGTTTTGTATTTGCATATGAGAGGTTATATGTTTCAGCAACCCTCCGGGAGGTTTATCGGATGTTAAAAGCTTAATTTGGGTTGAAACTTGTTTCAAGAGTTTTTTATTCTCACCTCTCTTGCTTTTGTCGAAAATGATACAATATTTCTTTTTGTATTATTTGGCTTTTATTTGAACCTTCATCAGGTTCATGATTTCATTTTTTTTCATGATCTACTTTTGTTTATATCTAAATAATGTTTTATGATTGGATATTGAGACACCTTTTATATGTCTATTTGTGCTCTCAATCAATCATGTTTTATGGTGGATAATTTTTAATTTCTTTAAATCATTTGATGTTTGATTTTTTTGGATATATATCTATGTTTTAGACTCTTGTGACTCTTCTCTTAATAACACATATAAGTGGTCACTTGGTCATTTTTTAATGTGAGTTGTGTTTAGGATATTCTATACTCATGCTTACTCACATTTGTTTTCCATGTTCATAATTGCATATTTTCCATATGGCATTTTGATAGGGGGAGCAATCCCTATATCTTTTTTCTTTATACTCACCTATGCTTTATGATAGGGGAAGCTTTCGCTCTCTTATTCTTTTGTTTCTCCATTTTGATATTGCCAAAGGGGGAGAAACAAGTTGATTGTGAGTATATTTTAAGAGTATTGTGCCTTATTGCATATCTTATATACTCTTTGTGTAGATTGTTTGTCATCATCAAAAAGGGGGAGATTGTTAGGTCTCATGTTATGAGCCTACATCTTCTAATCTTATTCTGATGATTACAAACAATTCCTAATATTGTTTGTCTAGTGTTTATGTTTTCTTATTAGGTATTCTAGACAAACAATGTAGTTGGAGGTTAGATGGATTGCGCCCTCACGATGATATCAAAAGGAGGTTGGCGGAATAGTGGATTGAAGCTATTGCACATCAAGTCATATTCAAGATCAAGCTTCATCCGCAATCAAGTCAAGCATATTGAAGATCTATCAAGCTTGGGTAAATTAGTTTAGGGTTTATACTTTGTGTGTTAATATCTTAAGCTTAATATTATACACACACAATTTAATAGTTTATGTATTTTATCCACAAAAGTTTTTGTAAACAAATAGATATATAATACTTATTTGTTTTCTATGTGGATAGGTTGTTTTGGTTTAGCTATATAGATATGAAGCAATATATATCTTTATTTTCACATTTATGTGCTTCATATTCTATTGAATGTGCAAAATATTATGTTTATGGATTGAAGACTTATTTACACTATTTTCATATCTTGTATAAGTCTCTAAATCCATTCAAAAGTGTTTCAAAGTTTTGTTTAAATCATTTTGGTAAAATCAAGTTTTTAACATGTTCATACTTATGTGATTTTGCAAAATAATGAGATTTCACATTTGGGATATGCTTTTTGAAAACCAGATTTTGTAGCATGTGTACTATCATGTCTACAATCATTTTCTAAAGTTTCATAATTTTTAGAATTTGTTTGATATTTTTAAAGGCAGTTTGAAAATCAGGTTTCTGCTTTAAACAGGCTGTATACTTGTTATCAGTCGACTGGTCAGTCGATTGATAAAATCAGTCGACCGATCAATCGACTGATGAAAGTGCCTGTAGTTACCAGTAGTTTCTGTTTTGTTTTGGTCGACTGACCAGTCGGCTGATGAGGTCATTAGTCGACCGATCAAGTCATCAGTCGACCAACGAGCTGGATGCTGACTCTAATGATCAGCTCATCAGTCGACTGATGAACCCCGTCAGTCGACTGATGGCCTGTAACGGCTATTTTTCTAGTTTTTGTTTTTATCATTTTGCTGGATTTTACTTGGGTTTTGAGCTTTGTTTCTTCATCCTATATATACCCTATACCATTTCACTTCTGAACAAAGAAGAGAAGTTTTAAAATAAGTTTAAAAAGAGTTTTAGTTTGTTTTAAGTGTTTGTTTACAAAATTAGTTTTGTGAAGATTGTTTTATAAGAAGAGGAGATCAATTTCAGTTTGGGCTTTCAATCTTCCTATCCCTCTCTCTTGTGATTAGAGAAGTGTTTCTAAACTCATATCTCTAGCTTGTTTATGCTTCATTTGTTATATTCGTATTTGCTAGATTTAATTGAGTTTATATTTTATTTTTCTCATTGCTTGCACTCACAACCATTGAGCTTAACTATTTTTACATATTGTATAATTTGGGGTTGTGGTGAGTGTAACATTGAGAGTGAGCTTAAATTATGTTCTCACCTATTATAGAGAACAATTTATTTATATTGTGCTTAATTGTGAGTTAAACGTTGTATCACACTTGTACACCGAAAGGAGTGTGTGGTGAGAGACGGGGTTGTCCCAAGAGGAGTGGTGTCGGTAGTAATGCCTAGAGGTAGGTCGTAATTCTGAGCACTTGAGGGAAACACGGGCTAGAGACCAACACTTAGAGGGTGTAGAGTGTGATTGCAATTATGTGTGTTGTAAAGTTTTCGGTGAACTAGAAAACCGAATTGTGAGGTGTAAACGTTGTTCGGGTGAGCGTAGAAAACCCGGTTGTGATAGTGGATTTCTCCCTGGGAGTGGGGAGCGAAGACGTAGGATGGAAGGTCCGAACTCCGTGATCATATTATTGTGTTTGGAGTGTTCTTTGTTT